CAGCCGGGCAGAGGCGGTGCTGAGGGCCAGGGTTTGGGGGTGGGATGGCAGGGGTAGGGGAGCGGTTGGGCTGGGGGAGCTGAAAGGGCTTTTCCAACCCAAACGATTCTATTCTATGATTCTATGACAGCACCGTGGCCCCACCCAGGGACCGATCTGCCCTGCCACTGCACCCAGTCCCAAACTCCACCTAAGCCAACCCTCGGCCGTGGGGGCTCCCAGGCAGTAGGTCCTAAAAGCCCTGACCATGAAGGATGGGCAGCCGCCCCTCCCCCAGGCTGAGAGTCAGCAAATTATTTAATTATTTAAACCCAGACAGCAGTACGGACCCTGTCCTCCATCACATCTGCAGCCCGGAGAGGGGGCTGAGGTGAGGCCGCTCCTGCCCGGGCTCAGGGAGATGCTGGCACCCTACGGCCAAGCCCTCCCCGGAGCCAGATGTACTCGAACCACACAACACGGGTGGTTTAACCAGCAACCCGCAACTGGGGGAACGATCCGCACCAGTACGGGAGATCTCAGAGGAGTCTCCACAAGCCCCCATCCAAGCCTGCCACGAAAAAGCCACCCTGGATGGCTGCGCCCCTCTGAAGTGGGGGCAGCACAACCCCACCGGGTCGGGGCTGTGCTGGAGGGGGGGTGCAGAGAGGACCCCACCGCAGGTGTTGCCGGATCGGGCGCCTTACTTCAACCACGCGCCAGCGGTTGGCATTCCCATGTTTTACCTTGCCAAGGGCCGGCACGCAGCATTAATGACGAGGGAGGAGGAAAACTTTGCTACGAGTCTCTAAACAAGGTGGCTTTCAAAGCACTTTTCAGATCTAAAAGAAAACACCCCCAAAACCATGGGGGGGATGAGGAGGGGGCAGCCCTAGGGGTGCTGCAGCCCCAACAGATCCCTCCTCTCTCAACACCAGAGCCTGGGAGCGGCTCCATCACCACGTTACAGCTCTTCGGCAGCGCTCCAAGTCCCCCTGGGCCCAAACTCATCACGAGAACCCACGGCTGCGCTCGGCTGCAAGAAAACCCCCTCGCTCCAGGGGTCTCAAGCACACGCAAGCCCACCGAGTCCCAGCCCCTCGCGCCACCACCCAGCTCTGCCTGCAGAGACGGCACCGACGGTGGGGCGCGAGCCAGACGCTCCTCTCAAACCTCCCGTCCCCACACTCCGCACCCACCTCTCCCTCCTACTGTTCCCACTCTCTGCCCACCCCGTTGCAGCTCCCGGCGCGCTCCACTCCCCAAAGCTGCCCCAGGGAGCTGTAGCGCCTGGGCTGAGCCTGTCCCACCTGCCCTCGGGCTGAGAAATCACTGGTTTCAGACAAGAAACAGAATCCCAGGGGATTCTCCCCGGGATGATGCGGTGATGGAGGGGGCACCCCAGGAAAGGCGCTGCTCTCCCTGAACATCCTCGCTTGGCACCACCAACGAGGACTTTGGCCTCTGCCAGGAGCCCCAGTTGGATCAGGGCTGCAACTATGGCCCATGAAAACCAGTACAACCCAGGCTGGGGCAGTGGGCTGGGAGGTGCCTCTCCGTCCTCTGCGCTCCTGCTGTTGCCCATTGCAAGAGATACGAGACCGGACGCAGCTCATCCGCTCGCTCATCCCCAGCGTGGCCCGGCCAGCTCCTGCTTTGACAGAAGGCGACCTCCTCCACGCAGGTAAGGAGGACCAAGCCAGACCATGTCTCCATTTGCCCAAGGAGCTTTGTGTTCGCAGTGCCCAGCTCTGAGCTATGAAAAGCCAAGGAAGAACAAACAGAGCTCTTCTGGAGGAGCCTTTGATGGCATCAACCAGGAGGACTGCGCTCATCCCAGCCTCCGCAGCGCAGGAGCCAGCTGACAGCTTGCACCCAGCCCTCCGGAGCGTGCTACCCGCTGCAGAAACACATTGCCCTTCCTCTTCCCCAGCTCTGCAGCATCTCCTGGCCTCAGATCCAGCGTTCCGGTGCTCCCGGTCCCCTTCGTTACAGGCGAACGGCACAGGATGCGCCGGGACCGGGGCCAGATGCGGAGGAGAACGCGTTGCACCTCCATCGCATCTCATCGCCCCTCTTGCCGAGCACTTCTTCCCACCTCTCTGCAAACAGTAATTAATTCATCCTCGCAAGCACGCTGCGGGAGGCAGGCACCTCACACCTTTGTTTCTCCTCCAGACACTGGGAAAAGCGAGGCAGGGAGGCTGGGCTCCTCGCCTCAGGCCAGAGAGGAGGAAGCCGGTGCCAGAGCCAAGATGCGCAGGCAGATATTTCAGCGACCGGATCAATCTGTGCGGCTGACTTCAGGAGTTTCTGGCTCTGCTATGACCCAGAGAGGTGGGAGGAGGCAGCCGGGCCGGCCTCAAAGGACGCGGCATGATGGGCAGAGAGCAGCAGCCCAGGGCTCAGAAATACGAGAGGATTCATGGCGGTCCCAGCAATCCGCTGCAAGTTTACAGATGCTCAGGCTGGCCCAGAAACCGAGGCCTGCGGTCTCCCTGTGCATCCCCCAAGCGCCGAAACGCCTGCTGTGCTCTGGCAGGTGGGAGAGCTGCCGTATTTCATCCTGCCCTGGATCTCCCCTTCGAGCATCCCAGCGTCTACTATAAACGGCAACTTTCCCGAACCCTTCGGAAAGCTGCGAACGGTCCCTGCGTGTCGCAGATGGGGAAGCGGAGCCCGAGAGAGGAGCCGTGGCTGGCTCCGTCCCACGAGAGGAAAGCAGAGCCCAGGGCTCTTGGCTGCACTGGCCGCCCGTCACCCTCTTGGCCTCGTTGGGGCAGAAGCTGCTGGAAACACACGTCCAAAGCCGGGACGCCAGGGAGCAACGCCGGCACGGTGCCTGCCAGCCTGCCCCATGCTCCCCACCTCCCTTTTTCCCAGTGATTTCCATTATCAGCACCGCTCCTCTTGCTGGTTAGCAAGGTGAGCCCACAGCAGCTACCATCGATGCCCACAGCACTTTTTGGAGACAGTCCCTCCGGGCCGGGAGAAGAAAAGCCGCAGATCCCAGCTGGCAGATGCTGCTCCGCACCATCGCCGATGCCGATCCGGACGAGGGGTGGTGGCAGCCGTCCCTCCAGCTCAGTCAAGAAAACACAGATTTGCTTTACACAACATTTACCTGCTGAGCTGCTGCCGCTCCCTTCTGGAAAGGGTTAAATTAGCGGATCTGGAGGAGAGAAATTGAAGAAAAAAGGAGAAGTAGGAAAAATCACTCCGACAGCCTCTGGCCCGCCTCAGCCCGTGCGTTGGTCTGAGGGGCAAAGCGCTGCCCCCGCTGCCAGGACCTCCCAGCCACGTCCCTACTCACGCCCCTGCAGCGAGGGGCTGCCGGGCTCTGGGGACAGCAGGACTGGTCCCAAAGCACCCCGAGAGCTGCCCCTCAGCACACGGCATAGGGGAGAGAAACCCAGCCTCGCCCCAACTCAAGACCCTTCCAGGGCACCCGACAGCCACGGCTTCCTCCGTTCCGAGGCAGCGGCACCACAAGCGCCCGCTGCCCCGGTCACGGCCGGGCTGGGTAGCGCAGGAATGACAGAAGCAAGGGGGACACGGTCGGAAGGAGTCCGACCCAGCCCTGCAGCGTCACCAGCAGCACATCTGGCCACCGGAACGATGCCAGGCCCAAAGCACCCCAAGGCTCGGCTCCACACCGCTGCGCAGCCAGAGCCCCGCTGCCCCGGGGCTACCGGAGACTGAGGGAGACTTGCACGGGGGGACCTGGGGACCAGGAGGACCTGGGAGCCAGCATGGGTGCAGGAGGATGAGGCGAGCCAGAAGGGCTCCGCTCGTTTTTGAGCTCAGGGCGAGGCGGGCAGCTGCGAACGACCTCGGTATCCCCCCTGCTCGGGCTGCACCGGCCTCGCACATCCCCGATTTACAACGGCT